GAACTTGATATCTTTGCCGTCCAGACTCCGAATCAAGCGATTCTTGAGTCTATCCTTATTAATTTTTTGTTTTCTTTCCAATGGTGTGTACGGTGGCACCCATTTCAGTGTGGAATGACCATTTTGCCCCTAGGTTCATTCTTTTCCATTTTTGAAACGTTGCTTCCGCATTTTCTTCCTTTGGGTTTCGTGACCTCATTGAGGGTCACATTAGTGTCTTAGAGGAGTGTTGTATCCCTAGAGACCATTGTTCTATCTTTTGCTTCAGTATTTGGGATCCGTTTTGGTTCATCACAGGACACACTGGGTTGAAAAATCCAGGGTCGTCACATAATAGGCATGGCATTCAACTTGAAATTAATAGAAGAACAATAATAAGTTATCAGTGAAAGACAAAATTTAAAGTATTAGGAATCCCTACCTCAAGATGCAAGCCAAACAAGCCCTAATTTCAAAATCCTTAAACCCTTAGCAATATTTGTGTCGAATGATAGCCCTTACCAAGCTCTTCCACTTTCCCTTCTTGGCCGTCCTCAAAATTTTACCCTAACCTCTCCAAATTCAAGCTTAAAACAATATGTGTATATATGCATATAGAAATAGAGAGAGAAGAAGATGAACTAGAGAGAGAAAGGGCCTTGCCCAAAAATGAGAAAGAAAATGGGGTAGCTTAGTCTTTCAATTGAAGGTGTAATTCTAACCATGCCACTTATCAACTTGTGGGTGATTCCGCTTTTTGCTTAAGTTACCTTATTACCATCAGTTAACCAACCATACTCCATCCATGTTCGATAAAATAACTTCCCAATGCATAGATATAGACATATGTATGTGCATGTGAAATGCCAATAACGCCCTTCAGTTAAAATGAGAAAATCGGAAAAAGTTTCAGAGTACAAAAATCGTCCCGACTTCCGAAAAATTCTAAAAATGGTTGTCACTTCTAATTGACTTAAAATAATTAAAATGCACTTCAAAAACCCTGGGCTCAAGAAAATGATCTAAACGGCCCTCAGGCCAGCGTGGCACACAAAATGAGGCACGAAAAATATTGTGAGTGTGTGAAAAACTTGGGTGGTTCAAAATTAGGATTTTAATGAAAATTTACATCTTGCCTAACTTGAACTAGTTCATCCCAACTTGAAACGGTTCAACTTTTGAAGGCTTTTTAGTGACGTTCAAGTCTGGCCAACTTGAACCGGTTCCGCCTCTCTTGAACTAGTTCATCCCAACTTGAAACGGTTCAACTTTTGAAGGCTTTTTAGTGACGTTCAAGTCTGGCCAACTTGAACCGGTTCCGCCTCTCTTGAACCTGTTCAAGTGGTAAAGTTGATTTCTAAATTTCACTTCTGGCGAACATGAATCAGTTCAGCACCTCCATAACCGGTTTGGCCCCTCTTGAACCAGATCATCTCCTTCAGACCTTTTTAGTAACTTTGTTTCCTGGTCTGTTTTGACTTTTCATTTTGGGTAGACTTCTTCTATAATGACCATGCATAAGATTGGCTTATTTTCCAAGAGTTTTTAGGTCTTCCAAAATTTTATATATTCTCTCTTTTACTCAAATATGGGGATGACTTTTTGAAACTAAAATTGTAGAGATTTAGTGAGAGCCATTGAGAGATATTTTTCAGAAAATCAACTTGATTTTTTTTCTTTTGTTTTGAGAGAACACATATAAACACAACAGTGATTTAGGAGTATTGTTCTCTATCTCATCGAAATTGGAGTATAATTGAAAATTCATAAATTCTGATAAGCAAATTTTTATATACCTTCACATAAAATTCAAATTTGAAGAAGAATATTTTCCTATCACACTTTGAAGGGGACAAGGCACTTACAAAGTGTTGTTAATCTACCAACAATTCTTCTACACGGTTCGAGGCATAAGTCTGAAGTCGAAAATTGGTAGACGGTAGGTCGTAAAGCCAAGGGCATTCAGCAAGTTGGGTCTTGGTAGAGTGAAGGGGTGTGAGCCTATGTCAAAATTTGGTGCACTTTGCTTCATACATAGTGGGTCGTTTTATGCTCAGGATAGCGCAAAAAGCTTCAAGGTTTTCTAGTTGGTTTCCTCGCTAAAAATCCTTGTGTCAGACTTATTCCTTGAACCATGTAGAAGGATTTTAATAAAAATTTCCAGTCAGCTGGCACCAAGATTTTTAGTGAGGAAACCAATTGGAAAACCTATAGGTTTTTTGCATTATCCCGAGCGTAAAATGATCCACTATGTATGAAGCAAAGTACACCAGACTTTGACACAGGCTCACACCCCTTTCACTCTACCAAGATCCAACTTATTGAATGCCTCTGACTTTGTGACCTCCCATCGAATAGCGCTCGACCTCAGACTTATGCCTCAAACCTTGTAGAATAATTGTTGTTAGATTAACAACACTCTGCAAGTGCCTTGACCCCTTCAAAGTGTAATTTAAACACATTTCTTCTTCAAATCTGAATTTATTGTAGGAGGAATGAAATATGATTACTCTGATCGATATTAATGCAATCTTCAATAACTTGAACTTCACTTGTGTGTATGCTCGTAGAAAAATCTCACAAATAGGCTCTTAATGAAAATCACAATTTTTATGCAAAAAGCCATGAAACCCTAAGTGAGAAAATAAGTTTTCATAAACTTTAGAAACCCTAATTGACTTAGAAAATAAATCAAAAGCATGCATAACCATTAAGGTAAAAGTCTAAGCAAAGTAGGAAGTTAAAACAGAACATGAAACAAAGTTTTCAAAAATATCTATAGGACTTTAACCCGTTCAGCTGCTCTTGAGCCCGTTCAAGTTGGCGAGTTGATTTTTTTTAAAAATAAGTTTTTGATACTTGAATCAGTTCAGCTACTCTTGAACCGGTTCAAGTTGGCCAAACTTGAACAGAAGATTTTTAAACTTCGAAAATTTTGCAACACTCAAATTTTTGGAAAACATACAAGTGTTCTTACCTTCTAACTCACCTTCCTAAAGTGTTGTTTCTCATCTTCTAGGAGTATATCAAGTTATAAATCACAAACAACCGTTGGTACTGCTTTTGATCTTGATCCTGAAATTTGAACTGAAAAATTGCAACTCGATCGAAATTTGCCATTTACAAAATTTATAACTCGCAAATATGTGTACTGCAAATTGCAGAATTATTCATTCGATTATCAATAGAATTATCAGATTTTTCATAATTATCTCTTGCTTTTTGTATTCAAAGTATCCTACTTTGTAGATTCAAAGTAACCCTCTTCCTTATAAACAAATTCATAGCTTTCGCTTACGTTAGTAGAAAAGCTAGCTCCATAAATGAAAATGGAGCTTTTAGTAAGGTTAATTGAAAGAGAGAGAACTTGGAACTGAGAGAGCATTTTCAAGTGTTGTGACAAAGGATCGCTATTGGTTTTGATGGCACTGAGATCGGAGGACAGTGAGCATAAATCAATGGCACTGGAACTCGTTTTAATCTTTCTCAAAACAGTTTGTTTAGCCAGGGACGGGGTAATTTTAGAAAATATTTAGAAGACCCTAGACAATAACTAATGAATTTAGATATTGTAACTTCCGTACTCCTTCTGTTCTAAAATAGTTGGGCCTTTTTGAGTCACAGTTACCAAAATGTCCAACTATTTTGGAATAGAGGAACTGAGGGAGTATATTTTTGGCTAGTTATAAATCCAAATATAAAACTGGAACCAAGACTTGTAATTTCAATGAGCGAAAAGATCTTCAATTATTTTAAAAATATTTTAAAAACTCTCTTCTACTTCTTATGTGGGATGAAAGATTTGTGAAAATCTTACAAATTCCTTCAAATTTCTACTTTGGATTTCGAATGACTTGGACAAGTTCGTACTAAGTAATTATTATCTTTATTTATATATTTGTGGTAGTTGGTATGAAATTATTGTGTAAACTTATTCAATCCCCCAATTGATATATATATATATTCTAAAATTATTCAACGATTCATTTCACATGAAAATATTTTATAAAATGATATGATCGACATGCATTTGACATTATTATTGGGTCACATCAATTTGTCATCTGGCTACACCTAATATAATATAAAACGCATTTCATATGTTACGCTTCAAACGAAATAAGAAAAACAACCTTTGTGCATATAATACAACGTCAGTATCGTTTATATATATATATGAGTTTTAAATCTCAAGACGTGAAGCAGTTAAAAATAAACAAAAAAGGGAAAAAGCTAAAAAAACAAATGGTAAGCTTTGTATTACACATATTTATAATGAAAGGAAATTCTAATCCATAAGTAAACTAACTACAACTTGAATTCTTATAACATAAGGAAACTTAATCCTGAAACCATACTAATACCCGAAAAACTACTAAATAAAAAAATATGAATACAATCCGAATTTGTTTAAACAACGAACAAAAATTCCGAAATATTCGACAGATTTCTTTCGGACCGAAAAATTCCGTTTTGAGGCCCTAAACGATGGTATTTTGCCGAAAAGCACGTTACATCATAGCAAGGCTGTGTGTCTTTTTCGTTCGGCCATTTCAAGTAAAAAAACTCTCATGTCGCGTAAAAAACGCACACTTTGGAATCAGCCCAGAAAATCTATTAGCATGCTTGTTTGGCCCCTGATAGTTCAAATGGGCCATAAAAGCTTCAGGAATCAATTCTACATTAGGATCCTATGCTGTAACAGTCTTCTATTATAGGGACTAGTGGTGCTTTAATTTATCTACAAATTAATTCTTTTTTTAACACTTTTATTTTGTATTTTTGTTTTTCAACCTAGTAATTTTTTAACACAATAAATTAATTTTTAAGCACTTTAGATATGACTAAAATAATTAGATTTAATGTGTTGAAAACTCATTCAATTGTTTTAAAAATTCCATACAGCTCAGTGTTCTATACAGCAGTAGATTGAGGCTGATAGTAGAGACCATTGCAGTGTTATGATGATAAAACAGAATGGAGCCACAGTACAATTTTTCATTTCCCAAGTAGTATGTAGACTAACGAGAGTATAAAGTCGCAACAACAAGCAGAGGATTCTTTCTTTGGATGGTTATACTAGGCACTTCAGTCAAGTCCACATCCTCGCCTCTTGCTCCATCAGGCAATGCAAAATCAAAGTTCAGCACAAGCTTTGCTAAGGCAAGCTCACCAAGAGTCATGGCAAATAAAATTCCTGGGCAACCCCTCCTGCCAGCTCCAAATGGAATAAATTGGAAGTCCTGCCCTTTAAAATTTATTGAAGTATTCAAGAACCTCTCCGGTCGGAACTCCTCAGCGTCTTCCCACAATGATGGGTCTCGAGCAATTGCCCAAGCATTGATAAACACTTGTGTGCCGGCTGCAATGTCGTACCCCATTACTTTCACATCTTGAATTGATTCTCGGGGAACTAGCAACGGGACAGGAGGATATAATCTCAGAGACTCCTTGATCACCGCTTTCAAGTAGTGCATTTTCTCTAGATCATTCTCAGTTATGTCCTCTTTGCCTTTGGCTATTTCTTGCACCTCATTCTGCAGTTTCTTCATGACTTTCGGATGTCTTAAGAGCTCTGTCATTGTCCATTCTAGACTTGTGTATGTAGTATCAGTTCCGCCAGCAAACATATTCTACAAAAAAAACCAATGATAAGTAACAAGTTTAAAAAGTTAGTCATTTGAAATTTGAGACTCATGCCGGGCTAATAGGTCACTCAACATAGATCATTGCTTCAAGATTACTGCTTAAAATTAAGATCAGTTTCATATACCTGAAAGCTTGTGAAGATATTTAAGAAATTAATATAACTGGAAGTGCTTAGGCCCTAAGTCATAGTTTCAAAGAATAATAATTTATTTATTTATTTATTATTATTTTTTTTATGGGATGCCAGAACCCTACCTCTTCAAAAGAATTACCAATTTCACTAATTTCTACAGTTTTATACCAAGTAAACTAAGAAGAGAACTTTCATTTGGGACACTAAATTAATTTGTTCTAACCAGCAAAAAATCAAGTCCATGTCATTGTAAACTCACATCCCTGTTAATTTTTCAAATGATCAAAGAAACATGTTTTTTCCTTAACTTTTAAATAATCATATATAAATTGCCACACCAGAAAAAGTCCCCAAGTCCTAAATTTCTAATTCCTTCAATAACAATCCTGTGAAATGGTGAGTCGTGACAAATTGTCAACATGGAAAACTATATGCAGGTCTATGGCAACTCTCAGACCTTCCCTCTTGATAAATGTCGTCAATATTGGAGCTAGAGGCCTTCCATCTGTAGAAAAAGTACTTATGCAACGAGGCATGCCGTGTTCAAAGCAGTGTTTCTGACGAATTGTCCCACTCTTTCCAAAGAAACAACCAGTTGAGTCATGCAAAGATGAATTGATTATAGTGAGCAATTGAATTTTAGGGAGAGATAAAGTTGGACTTACTAGGATTACAGCTTTAACGCTGTCTTTGTGAAGAGGAAAGGCATTACTCACATTCTCCCTTTGAATTCTAAGTAAAACGTCCACAAAGTCCTCATGCCGGCCTTCATCTTCAACATTCATACCACCATTGCTCTCTCTTCGCTGACGATCAATATGCTCTTTAACTACACCTTCCATTAATGTATCAAGCTCACTTGCAACCTTCTCCACTCTAGCATTCAAACCATTGACATGATTTAGCCATGAAAGCCACGGGATATAATCCCCCACATTGAAAACACCCAACACCTCCATACTCTCACCCATAAGCTTCTTTAACTTCCTACCACTGTACTTCTTTCCCAAGGCTATGCGGCATACTATATCATTCGTGAGTGAGAATAGCATCTCGGTCAAATTCACTGGTGAAGAAGAAGACAATTTAATCTTCTCCACCAGAAGAGTTGTTTCTTCTTCTCTCACAGTGTGAAAAGACTCAACCCTCTTGTTATTTAGAAGGTGAAGCACACAAATGCTTCTCACTTGCCTCCAATACTCTCCATAAGGAACGAAAGCAACGTCCTTAGCATATAATATTCTACTCGGAATACTTGATTTAGGTCTGGTTGAGAAGTTGAGATCATGGGTTTTCATGATCTCACGAGCTACCTCAGCAGAGGAGGCGATGAGAACTGGTTTGCTGCCAAGGTGAAGAAGCATCAGGGAGCCATATTTTTGAGCTAATGATTTGAGGGATCGATGTGGGAACCAACCAAGTTGGTGTAGATTACCAATAATTGGGAGCTTTGAAGGAGAAGGTGGCAGATTTCTTTTGGTTTTTGGGTTGGACAACCATTTCAAAAGGAAGACTACAGAGAAGAACAAGGAAAGAAGAGAGTAAAAGGACTGGAATAAGAACAACATTGCTTTAGAATCTACAAGAAAACTATACCCAAATTGTGAGTGAGTATTCCTCATCTGAAAGCAAGGCTGCCTATTTATAATGAATGAATAATTGTTGTGTTGAACGATCTTAAATTTCGTAAACATTTTTAAAAATTAGTTCAGTATTAATGTAGTGTTAATTTATTAGATCACATCAATTCGTTTTGTTACAAAATACGATGTTACAGCATTTCGTAGAAAAAAAAAAAAAAAAAAAAAAAAATTAAATAAGCATCATGTGACGAATTATGACATAATGTTTTATTTTTTATTAATTAGCATTAGAAAAAGTAATTATATATTATGGTATTGACATGTTTGTTTAGCGTTCTATAATAATTTGAAATACTCCCTCTATCTTAAAAAATAAATAAATAAACTAGTAAGGATCTACACCATATTCACTGTCAATGTAGACCAATAATAAATGAACAGGTCATCTTTAATTACCAAATCAAATATGATGGGTAGATATCCGCTTACCAAATCAGAGATGGTGATTTGATTACTATCTACGATTTCGTAATTAAAATAGAATGTGTCCATTTATTATTGGTTCACATTAGCGGTAAATATGGTATAGATTTTCACTAGTGAGGACTTAAGTATTGCTCAAAAAGATATATGCACTGCATAGTAAAGTAACAATTCAATTATCAATAACATATCAGAATTCTCTATAATTTTTTCTCAATTTTATAGATTCAAAGTTGTTACTTGTTCATTCGTGAATGTTTCATACCTTTCGTCTCTTCAAACATAATATAAATGATTCCAAAATTTGTATAGCCTAGTGGTATTTCCTATACCTCCCAAAATGGAAAGTAAAGGTTCAAATCCCCATAGAGACAAATGAGTTCGTGAAAAAATAATAATAAAAAATAACATCTTTATAAGAGTTTGATTTTAAACATGCATAACTAACACCCTTGGGATCAAAATCCTCTACAGTAAGAGAAACTCATTGTCCCTTATGGTGCACCTAAAATAAATCATTTTAAGTGTTTTTAACCTAATCGATATCTCCATTTACGATTGAAATAAAAATAATGATAGAAAAATAATGGGACTTCTAGCTAGCTCTCTGAGAAACTTCATTTTAATTGAAAATTTTCATTGTCAAAATTTGTTGATCGAGTTGTAATTTTTATTTAATTTTGCATCTCGATTTGAGCTAAACAGCAAGTGGTTCGATATTATGGAATTGGATGATATCATTAAGTGCAGGTATGTGAGTGAGGAGCACACTATGCATTTGAAGTTTGGTGGGGTAAGGACTTAGAATATATGGTTTTAATTGAAAAAAATCCAAATTATGCAAAGTCCGACCGATCATACTTTGACCGACTTGTCCAACTACTTCAGCAAATGCATTTTGCAAAGTCCCGTCAGTTGAACTTTTACCAACCGGTCGAACTTTATGAGTTGCACGATGCATAAACTATTTTGTTACTTGAGTGTGATCCAACAAATTAATGACCTAGGGGGGCTAAATAGGTCAACTTGCCTAATTTTTGTGATCGATTAAGAATACACGATCAGTACATAAACTAATAAAGTAAAGCAAGTAATAGTAAATTTGGGAGATGACACCAGAATTTTTTTCAGGGTGGCACATTGGAGTATTGTACACTATAACATATATTTACAAAATAATATTGTACATGCATATAAGTCAATGTTTATTAGTATAGAGAGAGTTTTGATCTCTTGTTCCCTATGGATCAAGAAAATTAATCCACACTTTTTATATAGACCGTTAGATTTAATCTAATGGTTATTTTTCAAACCCACCTACAGTATTTCTTTTTAGCACAAAACAACCATCACCCTATTTTTAGTTTCTATATTTAATTTTACCATTATCACCTATTAAAGGTAATTATCAAAATAAAAATAAAAAAATTTGAAAAAAAATAATACCAGTATATTTTACTTAAAAAAATGTTTTTATTTAGATGTTTCTTTGAAAGAAAAACAATACTCCTATCTTTCAATTTTGCAACAACAGTACGATATTATAACTTTTTCCTAAAAAAACTTATTGTTCTCAGTATAAGTAAATTAATATACTTCTTTAGTATAAGTAAATTTACCAACAAATATACTGTAATATTGCATTTTGGAATATTGAATTAATTTATTGGACTTGAAATTGAAGAAAATTTCATTTAAAGTTTGAACAAAATTCTTTGTATTTCAATTTGAAGTTAAGTATTTGGTGAAATTCATTATTGAATTTGTGAATTTGATTATTGGATGATGATGATCTACTGACTATGGTGGGACTATAGAATTCACCTAAAAAACAACAAGGTAACCCAAAAAAAATGGGTGAAGCTCTTCTCACAACCTTATCCATGGAGAGTAATCATTTTTCTACACTTCTGTCCATGGATTCAAATTCAACACACGAAGAAATGGAGACAGAGTTGATAATTACCTTTCATTGTTACGTAAGTGGTAATGGTAAAATTAAATATAGAAACAAAAAATAGAGTAAGAGTGGTTTTGTGTTAAAAGGAAATGTAATACCCCAATATTTTAAAAAGGATTTATTAATTAAATTAATTTATATTATATTATTATTATTTTTTTTAAGTGATTTGTTTTATTTAATTAGGTGCTTGATAGTTGTGATTTGTTTTATTTAATTAAGTGCGTAGGTAAATTGTATTGTTTTAATTAGATTATATATTTTGTAATTTTAATTGTTAAATTTATATGGTGTTTGATTTGTGGAATGCTAGTTAGTGAAGTGTTTATTTGATTTGCGTGATTTTATATTGGTGTAACTTTATTGTTAATTATTGGTAGCTATTAAATTTAATTTCATTATCTTAGGTATTTAAGTTATTTGGATTGGGATTAAAGGAAGTTGGATCAACGGATGTGGTATTGGGCTTGAAGGAAGCCTTGTTGGGTTAATTGGTAAAGGCCCGTGGTTGGGAGGATATTTAACAATTATCTTTGCATAATTATACCTATATAATTACATGTGTATATTAATTCATTATTAAATCATGTGTAGGGGCATATATGTCAATATAATTATATATTGATATATATAGGTATATATAATTTATTTAACTAATGGTTATATATGGAAGGTAATATATATATATTTATATTAAAATATATGTATGTATATATATTATTTAAAAGATAAATATTATTTATTTTATATGATAATCCTAATGGGAAAAGGATTTAGGTTTTTGGATGTGTATAAATAGACATATAAGACTTTAGGGTTAGGAGTTTTTCTACGTTAGAAAAATACGAGAATTAGAGAGAGAAGAAGAAGGGCTAACGAGGAGGAGGCCGGATCAAAGAACGTAAGAGGAGACCGGATCTGGAAAAGAAAAGGCGAGTTCTTCTTTACTTCTCCTCTTAGAACTCATAAACTTATCACCTTGATTATTGAAATAATAATTGTATTGTATTGAATTAAATTATTAATCGAATTAGATGAGCATGTTTATTTTTTTGAAATTTTTTTTATAGATTTAAACATGTGAATATATGTATGAATTGTTCGGATAGTTTAAATATTGTATGTGAGGGAAGGTTAATTAAATATTATTTCTGAAATTTTCTTATAGTTTGTTTTAACTTTATATAGCGTGATTAATTAAATTAAATGGACCAAAATATAATTACATATATTTAGTTATGGCCAAAATTAATAAATTAAGCTTGTGGATTTTTCCTAGAATTTTCTGGACTGATTTGATATTTTTTTAGAAAAATTCGGATATTTAGAATTATATATATATAATTATATATGTGCAAATTAATTATATATATATATATACTGTATATGTTTACGCACTGATGGTAGTTTAGAAAGGCGATATTCCAGTGTGGTGCGGCCTATGCTAAAAGTATGTGCATGTGAATCTGGGGCATTGAATTTTGAAATACATAATAGATTGATTCAGTGCAATAGGGTGTATAATATGTTGATGACTACGCTGATCTAGACCGTTGGATGAGGTGGATGATGGTGGATTGATTCGCTGCAGCGCACCAGCAGGGACGCGGTACAACTAACCAATAGGAGCGCGCCGCGTCAGCAAGAGGAGTAGCCAGCATGCGTGGCAGCGCGTGGCCGCGCGTGCGCGCGCGTGGCAGCGCGTGTGAGCGTGCGCTCACTCTCTGGCGCGTGTGAGGGCGCGTGTGAGCGCGTGCGTGCGTGGAAAGATGTGTGGAAGCGCGTGCAAGGTGCTTCGGAGAGTGTAGAGGCGCGTGGTAAGGTATTTGGTGTCTCAAAAGGGTCCGGTAAAGTCCGGAGAGGTTCTAGAATAAGTCTCGATGTGTTCTAGTTTTTCTAAAGGCTGTAGAGTGTTGCTAAGATATGTGGTAGCCTTTAGCGTGTGTAACAGAATAAATTAATGATTATTATAGAAGGAAATGAATATATATATATATATATATTTATTTATTTATTTATTTATTTAGTTATTTATCTATAATCGTACATGAGTATATGGTTTATTTAACTTGCGATTAGGATGGAAGGAAGTAGTTATATATATATACATCTGTATATGTATATATAGTATGGAAGATATTATATACGTATATATTACATAATATATTTGTATATGGATATCATTTAAGATAATTATTATTATAAGTCTTATTTGGTGTATCTGAATATGTGGGTTATTAATTATTGACATGCTTATTATATGCATGAGATGTGTATGTGTGATTTAGCTTATTAGTTAAGTTTAAGGTTGGTACATGGTTGAATTGTAGGCATGGATGAGTTGCCAAAGGCTTAAATATATTGCCTTATTATTTGTATAGATAAAATACATACGTGGAAAGCATGGATGAATTGCTAATTAAAAGTATAAATATATATACTTGAGGAGGCATGGTTGAGTTGCCAATATATAGATAAATATATTCATAATAGCATGGTTGAATTGCTATAGCAAAATTAAATT